TTTTAAGATGTGATAAAAACGAGTACTCAAATTTAGGCAATTTTAAACAGTACATGTATTTGTTGTTTAATGCTTTTTGATTTATTTTATATTTTATACATATGTATGTATATGTAAAAACAAATAAGTTTCCAGTGGAGTGGGTAATTTCCATTACATTCATTAAAGCAATTCCACACACAATCGTAAATTGCTCGTTAATTTCAATCACTCACAGACCGTTCCGCGCTTAGCCTTCGAAGTCGACTGCCTCCAGATCCGGAAATTGTAGACATCCGTATCCAGTGTGGAGTATATAAAGATGGGCATGGAGTTGGACATCATCCAAATGATGCCCTCGTCATCGATCTACAAAAAATTAACAAATTATAATTGCGACGAGCAAGGCGAAAACCAAAGACAATATAAATGGCTATTGAACGGTCTTTTTAGGACTTTAAAAAACATGTTAATAGAGTCTCAGTCTTTAAAAGTCTGTGTCCCACTGAAATGTATGGACGTTACGCAGCTTCCTACTATATTGTCTTTGTTATAACCACTCCATACCGTCAAATCGCTGGGATAAATCATATCGCTGGCATTCGAGTCGACTGTGCCATGGTTCTCCACCGAGAAGGGTTTGCTGGTCTTCCAGCATCCAACTCCGTTCTTCTGTATTTCAGCGAAGAAGATCACCCCAGTGCGCGGATCGTACTCGTGCATTGTCGACTGCGTGGACGGACCGCGGCCGCCCAGCACCCGGAAATCACTGCCATGATCGGCGCGGGCAGAATTCGATTCCAGCTGCAGCACCCGACTGGAGACCACAAACTCGTTGGTGCTGGCCATCGGATGGAAGTAGACGTCGCGACTCCCGTCCGGCTGCCGTGGCCCCAGTGTGGTGGAGAAAATTCCATCGTCCCATCGGAACGACTGGCCGCCAATGTTCAGGTCGCCGGCCAGTGGATCAAAGTTGAAGTAGTTGTGCTCGAAGGCCCAAATCCGATCGTCCGACAGATGGTACACGTACAGGCGCCGGTAGACCAGATCCGGAATGTAGGCAAACGCCTCGCCACACTTGTTGGGTTGCACATCGATGGTGATACTGGCCAAGCCCCGACCAGTCTCCACAAGGCTTTCGGGAATCTCAAAGCGCTTGATCACCCGATCAGTGTTGAGGTCGACAATCCAAATGCTGGGACGCCGGATTTGCTGGCGGTTATCTGAAGCCAAAAGAAGTACATCGATTAAAAGTATGTATTGATATCTTATAAAAAGGCTAGACAATTATTTGCAGTCACAGAGTACAGTGGAGTTTATAAACAGCCAGAAGGATGCGTTGCCGACTCCTTAAAGCAAAAATTAGTTTCCCTCTGACCTATCTCGCCTGGCTTCCACGCTCACAATGGGAGTTTTATTTCCGGAGGTCTCCCTCTAACTAGCTATATATATATATATGTAGGTCTCTCCCCGCGAGATTCGTGAGATTTTCATATCCGGTTTGTACTAAAAAGAGGTCTCTCTCTCTCTCCCCAGCTAGCTCTCTCCCAGTAAGATTCGCTCGTTTGAAAATAGGGAAAGGTATAATAAGGTAATAATTATCTAAAATAATTATCGACATTACTGAGGGATACCATAAGATATCCGCTTTCTATTTCTATTTTTGCATTGATATCTGACAAATTATCTATTCCAAATGGTTAATTCATTCAGAACGAACATTACACTAGATGGAGCACCCAATAAAATGGCTTCCATTAGTACCCCCGCAATGGGTATAAATATGTTTGAATTTATAATGCATCCCCAAGGTAAGGCAAGGGAACGACGACCGTGTCTACAATTACTATCGGCTATAACACTACACCTATCCGATTAGTGTTTGTCTCATAAATCAATTTCAATGCAAATGGCACCGATAATTGAGCTTTCGGCACAACACAAAGGTTGGGTGTGCAATGAGAAACGTAAACGTAATTGGGCACGGCACTCCAGGAGGGGATGCGATAAACACGATATGCAAACGATTGGGGGGCAGAGAGATGATCAACTTACTTGGATACTCCAGCATTCCGGTGTCAATGAACCATAAACGCTGGCAGTCATCTACGGTGGTCCTATAGACAGAGACCAGATTCTGCGAACTCTCATTAAACTGGTTCAGTGCGAAATTTGGATAGGCGTGCAGCTTGGGGCTTCGCTCTCTGCCGTCGCGGGACATGTCGATGTAGTTCAAGGTCGACGGGATGCCGACACGCCGCCTGGGCATCGTGACGAAGAGGCGTCCCCGGAAATGTGTGGCGCCCATCGGTACGTTATTGTAGGGAATGTACGGAGCATTAGCATTATCATTGCTCCCAATGCGTGAACTAACGCCGATGGGGGTGTCGCGGGAGGTGAAACTTTCACGTTTTCGACGGGAGTACTTTCCTGGAAACACTACCGGAGCTAGTAAATTAAAGTAGAATACAAATTAGTTCAATTTTTCCATTCATTCGGGTTATCTCAGCTACCGGAATTGTATGGCCTATCGGGTCTGCTGCTGCCCTGGTGGCCCTGATTAGGTTCAACGTTATGGCGACCATCTCCGCGATTGTAAAAGTCCATCTGCTTCCATTTGAAAACCTCAATCATGCCGTCACCTTGCACAATAAATACAAAGTGCGACCACCAGATTAGGCAGATGAGTAAGTGTGAAGATAGCATGGTAGTACTCTATACGCTACTCCGTTTAATTGTAAAAATAACTCGTTAAGCTCCACCATCCGCCTCGGCCGGCTGAGAAATGAGACTGACAAAAGTCGCATCCATTCCATCCATTCCCCATATTGGAACTATTACGTGCGCCCAGCTCAAAAGTTCAATATATTTGATAAGAGAACATTTTATGTGTGTTCTGAGAGCCATCGAACCGGTTTTAATATTTATTCTATATTATATTCTCTGGAACGGCAACGGAAATTGGCGCGCCATTTGAATTTGAATTCTGAGAGTGATTCTGTGAATCGATAACAACAATAATTCGATTGCCATTTTCGATTGCACTGCAATACTTGAGCAGCGCACACACACACAAAAGCAATTGCGACGACCAGGAACAAAGGGCTTAGAATCTTCCGTACGCAGGTTTTTTGAAGTTTCGCTCTCTCAAATCGTACTTCCGTGCATCATTTATTCCAATTGATTGCATTTAAATCCTTGTAGCTCATTCACTTTCAAACAATTTTTATTTGGCGCTCAAGTTGCTATCTTTTGTTTGGGATTTGCTCTCTATTTTGTGGTTCGAAATCCTCTCTTCGTGGAGAAATTTTTCATCAGAGTAATTTCCCTGCAACAATTGGCTTATTTAACCATTGGCAACATCCAATTTAAATATGAAAGGAAATGCAGATTAATAACCTACTAGATGGGTACCCATTTCACTAGCTACTAAACGGGTACCCATTAGACTACCCCTTGTACCCACACAGACGAGTACCCATATCACTAGTTTGGGGGTAAAAGATGTGGTGTTGCGGGTAAAATGGAAATGATGAAAAGCGTTGTTATGGGTTAGTAAAGAAAGTACCCCTGGTCAAAAAAGTTCAAGAAATTTTAATTTTCTTATCGTCGATAAAATTGATCGATAAAATATACCGCAATATACTGACGAATTGACGAATATATTTCACGTCACACACACATACACAAAAGCCAGGCAGAAAATTGCAATTGCATTGCGACGACCAGGAACAAAGGGTTTAGAATCTTCCATACGCAGGTTTTTTGAAGTTTCGCTCTCTCAAATCGTACTTCCGTGCATCATTTATTCCAATTGATTTCATTTAAATCCTTGTAGCTCATTCACTTTCAAACAATTTCTATTTGGCGCTCAAGTTTGGTGGGACATGCTCTCTTTTGTTTGGGATTTGCTCTCTATTTTGTGGTTGGAAATCCTCTCTTCGTGGAGAAATTTTTCATCAGAGTAATTTCCCTGCAACAATTGGCTTATTTAACCATTGGCAACATCCAATTTAAATATGAAAGTAAATGCAGATTAATAACCTACTAGATGGGTACCCATTTCACTAGCTACTAAACGGGTACCCATTACACTACCCCTTGTACCCACACAGACGAGTACCCATATCACTAGTTTGGGGGTAAAAGATGTGGTGTTGCGGGAAAAATGGAAATGATGAAAAGCGTTGTTATGGGTTAGTAAAGAGAGTACTCCTGGTCAAAAAAAGTTCAAGAAATTTAAATTTTCTTATCGTCGATAAAATTGATCGATAAAATATACCGAAATATACCGCAATATACTGACGAATTGACGAATATATTTAACGTCACACACACATACACAAAAGCCAGGCAGAAAATTGCAATTGCATTGCGACGACCAGGAACAAAGGGTTTAGAATCTTCCATACGCAGGTTTTGTGAAGTTTCGCTCTCTCAAATCGTACTTCCGTGCATCATTTATTCCAATTGATTGCATTTAAATCCTTGTAGCTCATTCACTTTCAAACAATTTCTATTTGGCGCTCAAGTTTGGTGGGACATGCTCTCTTTTGTTTGGGATTTGCTCTCTATTTTGTGGTTGGAAATCCTCTCTTCGTGGAGAAATTTTTCATCAGAGTAATTTCCCTGCAACAATTGGCTTATTTAACCATTGGCAACATCCAATTTAAATATGAAAGGAAATGCAGATTAATAACCTACTAGATGGGTTCCCTTTTCACTAGCTACTAAACGGGTACCCATTACACTACCCCTTTTACCCACACAGACGAGTACCCATATCACTAGGTTGGGGGTAAAAGATGTGGTGTTGCGGGTAAAATGGAAATGATGAAAAGCATTGTTATGGGTTAGTAAAGAAAGTACCCCTGGTCAAAAAAGTTCAAGAAATTTAAATTTTCTTATCGTCGATAAAATTGATCGATAAAATATACCGAAATATACCGCAATATACTGACGAATTGACGAATATATTTCACGTCACACACACATACACAAAAGCCAGGCAGAAAATTGCAATTGCATTGCGACGACCAGCGAAACAAAACGAAAAAACCCAAACAAATCCGCTTGCAAACTAATAGAACTGCAGTGGAGTCGAACTACTTGGTAAACGGATGGCACTGTAATAAAGGCTAGCAACTGTATTGGCAAGGAAAGGCGCACTGTTCGTCGCGCGCGTTGTGGGGAAAAACGCGTTGCGTTCTTTTCCATTTTGTGTGTGTTACCTTACAGCACACACACGCACACGACATACAAACATCCGCGGCCACATACACACACATACACACTCGCCAACGACAAACACAACGACAGGCGACGACGAGTGAAAGTGTCTCTCCCTCACGGAAGTGCATCTATCTGTGATTTGTATAATAATGCGTCGCGCATACGCAAATTTCGGTTGCACCAAAGATTAACAAGTGATCCTTGGTTCGGACTGGGACGGGTACTGGGACTCGGATTTGGATTTGGATTCGGATTCGGTCAGTGCTCCCAAGTGCGGCAACAAACGAAGTGAAATCGAATGGCCGAGCAAGTGGAAAATGCGTTGGCGTTGGCGTTGGCGCACACCAAAGAAATGCTGCCCAAGTGTTCCGATTTGGAGGCGTCAGAGGAGGCGGCACTCAGCTCAGGCAGCGAAGAGGAGCCCCCAGACTCCTCCGGCGAGGCTATCAACGGGGAGCTGGACGCCTCCTGTTACCATGTGAGCATGAAAATGTCCATCGACGCGGCCACACCGCGCCTATGTGGCGAGCTCTTTGTGCCGTTGAAATGTGATGCGCTGGCGGCTGCACTGCCTGTTGCCCTGGGCCCTGCCGCCGCCGACACCGCCGAAGATGACGCTGACGATGACGATGTCCCTGCCAGCACGCTTTCCCCCGCCCATGCCCATGCCCACGCCCACGCCAAAGTGGCTGCACAGCTGCCGTCGCCACCGCCCAACCAGGCGATGCCGGCACGGAGCGGCACGCCACCGTGCCAGCTGTTGGAGCGTCTCAATTTCCCGGAGGGCAACATCATAAACACGTTGCACACGATCCTGGCCCTGCCGCCATTCGATCCATACGCACCGCCACCCAGATCGGAAGTTGTCTACAAAGATGTGGTGTCGTTGATGCAATGGAGCCTGCGGGATGACAACGCCATCGAGCTGGAGCTGAGTGACAAATTGTTGCACGAGTGCGAGCACAAGAGCAACGATCCCAACGAGGAGGCGCGCTCGTATTTGGTAAGAGGGTTCCGCTCCTCGATCCGCGCGTTGTGTCATCATCACTTATACTCCTGTGTCTCTCCTGCAGATGGCCATTGAGAACATGAGACTGTTCTCGGAGGATCCAAAGAATCCGCTGCGCGATGCCGACGGACAGCTGCGTGCAATTACGGTGCGTTGCATGGAACCCAGTGCCTAATCAGAGTGCCCCAGTGCGTAATCCTAATGGATTTTAGCTTTATTTCCAGAATCTTGCCTTTATTTTTGTGAAGCATCGAAAGGATGAGTTCTTCACATTTTGTTCCTGCAAGGAATGTCTCGAATATCGCGAAACCATCATGGCCATCATGATGGATCAATTTAAGGCTGCCCACATGGTGGTTATGCTGCTGGATGTATTAATCAAGGCCTACAGCCCCATGTTGAAGTAAGGGACCACCCAATCACCCGACCCAAGCAAAAACCAATACCCAAAACATGTACTCTCTTTGATTTGTAGAAACGATGCTGCCTACAACAAGTTTGAGAAGCTGCTTGAATGCAACAAGGAAATATATTGGATTACCAGCGGCTATCTATACGATAAGAATGCCGAGTATCTTGATTTTATTGATGACACAGCGATCTCCGATAACATGATATTAGTGCTATTCAGCGCCATGTAAGTGCACACCACGCCACACCATAGCCGGATTATTTATTTGTTTAACTCTCCGATGTGCGCTGTCATTCTATCCTCCAGATTGATGGCCAACAATCCGATGCTTTTGCTGCAAATACTCGCCTACAATGTGGAATGCATTGTGAAGGCGTTCTCCGAGGGCATGATTGAGATTGCCCAGAATGTGCAGGAGAACGAGAAGATATCCGCAGAGAGGATGCTGACATGTATGTGTTGGATCTATGCCCTAAATGAATCTATCAATTGTATCTGTCCACCTTTCAGATATACTTGATGGCTACTCCGACTTGAATTGCATCTCACAGAAAATCTCGCTCAGTCTGTTTGCGTTCGAGAATGATTTCCTGCGGAAATTCAAGCTCTCGTGGGTGCTGCTGTGCCAGCGACTGTTTCAGCAGCATGTGTTCTCGCCGCTGGGGGACACCATGCTGGCGTGCATCCTGTCGCTGAAGGAGGCAGCCCCCTCGGTGCAGACGACGGCGCTGATCAAGCGCTACATGCTGTTCGACGAGCACATGCACTCAATCGAACGCCGCTGGACGGACATTTGGATCGAGCTTAACAAGTTTAACTTGTCGGACACGGAGCACGACCGTCGGATGGGCCTCTTGGATGTGTATAACATATTCGACAAGGTCGTCCTCGACGCCACCTCGTTCTCCCTGCCCGACATAAGCGACGACGAGTTCATTGACTTTCAGCGCATCGTCGATCGGCAGCTGGCCTGGAAGAACATCATGGCCTTCACCAAACTGAAGTGGCCCGACGGATTCTACGATCCGCCCAACAAGCTCGTGCACGAGGACCTCTGCAAGAAGTGTAATGCGCTGCTGGAACACCATCACGAGTACGTTCCTTCGCTCTACGTTTCCCCTTACTGCCATTTGTATTAATGATCGCTTAATCCTTGTGGCAGGAACTGCAAATGCATCACTTGCTCCATTGCCGGCACTCCGCTGCGACCGCGGCAGGCTGGCCATTGCGCCAAGTGCACGACGCTTGGGATTGTGGAAAAGGACCCCAAGCTCATGAAATCCAAGATTCTCAGCACCTGCACCAGCGATGAGGCTAAGCACAATGCGGCAACGGCAGCCAGCACCAGTTCGGCGGCCCAGCAGCAGCAGCGCCGCTGCAGCGAACTAGCCGACGCCGCTGTCGACGAGCAGCCCAGTGGCAGTGGCAGTGGCGCGGTATTCCGGCGACAGTCGGAGACCGACGTGCTCCGCACAACATATCACATTGCATGGGCCGTGTTCCAGCATCTGACCACGCGCAAGCGCTACCGACATGAGGCCATCGAGTCTCAGTACTTCTGCGGCGAGAATTGCCGCGTCTCCGCTTGCCAGTTGGCCCGCAAAATTCTTGCCAACCAATTGTCGCCGCCGCTGACCAAGTATCTGCTGCGTTGCTTTCAGCCGCTGTCGTTCACGCGGGAAGAGCTGCGCTCCACGCTGCCATCGCTGATGTTCTTCAACCGCAAGCTGGCGCCGAGTCCCGCCGAGCTGCAGGAGCTGAAGAACCAGCACTACGTGTACAAAACCTACTGGACCTTTGTCCTATCCATCTATGCCAACTTCTTTGTCAAGTTCAACTCCAGCAGCACGGACTTCAGGCATCTGGAGCTGCTCAAGGGGGATCTGCGGCTGCGCCTCAACAGTGTCGTCGGCGACAAGGACGATGGGCGTTTCGAGCAGTTTCTAGCACAGGTTATTGGGTAAGCTTTCCCCGAACCTGCCATCAATGCGATGTCTAGACCTCTATATTTCTTGCAGATACTCTCCCTTCAAAATCACCGACGAGTAAGTGGTTTAAGATGGTCTAAAGCAGATCCGACGCGTGTGGGGGGGGGGATTTCTCTTTGCCATCGTCTTGGGTATTTGCGATCGATGAATCCACCTCATGGCGAGAGTTGAGGAGTTGCGTGAAACAATCTTAGAGGTTTATATAGCCAACGCAACTGATATCCGCCGGCTGGGGCCCCAAACTTGTGAAAAATTGCATGTAACAGAAACATAAACGATCTGAATTGCCTGTGAGGTGAGGGTCAGGGAAAACCAACAGTGCGGCAGCTCTTTTCATTTGGTAGCTGACGTGGAGAGGGATATATGAAGGACAGAGTTGAACACTGCCCCCGGGCGGGGTGAGCAATCCCTCGTTCCACACGGACGGTTCAAAGGCTACTGAGGGGCAACCAGAGCATCCGACTTGAGCAAGCCAAGCCTCCTTAATGCCTCAAAGTATCCTAAAAGACCTCAAGTAGTAGACTGGGTCCCAGGGCCTTTGACTCAAACACAAATATATTAGTAAACGTAGCAGGCTGTTGCTTTGGCTTAAACTACCTTCAAGGGGGGCTCTGACAGTTGTAGATTATAGACAGAAACACACACGACTTTGCTGAGCTCGAAGCAGGATTTTCAGAATTTTTTCAATAATACGTTTGCTCGCATTTACAGTTTCACACTGGGAGATGCCAATATAGAGAAGATGCAGTTTGGAGTCGATCAGCTGATGATGTTGCACGACTCACAGATAATGTAAGTGGCCCACACTGCTTTCCCTTTGGGGGCATTGCTTAATCTTTGGTTTTGGTATTGCAGCAAACGCACCAAGCCGGACAGCACCACTGGCTTGGCCGCGTCCAAGTCCAAGGCGAGTGACATAACCATGACGCAGCCGGGCGGCAGGGCCCACGATGGAGGCGGTTCCAAGAAGAGCAAAGAGAAGATGCGCAAATGTAAGTGGCTTTTAAGCTTTCGAATGGAGCATTGATTCTCATCAATGGTGGTCTCTAGGCTGTGCTGACTACGCGGACATTGGGGAGCCGTGCAAGGAGAATCACTCGAAGAAGCGCGTGAAGAAGGAGTGCAGTCATGCGCGCTACAACGAGACTCGCGATCGTCTTCGCAAGAAGTTGTCGCAGATTGTCAACGATCGAAAGAGCAAGAATGGACAAGAGGCGGGCACTCCACCCATAGCTGCTGCCGCTCCTGGTGCCGGTGCCGCTGCCGCTGCTGCACCACCGCCCAAGGCTAAGCCGAAGACAGAGCCTGAGGCAGCCGCCACCGGAGCCGCAGCGAACCCACCAAAACGGCCGCCCAAAGCGGAGTCCGTGCCAGCCAATGCCAGTTGCAATCCTAATCCCAAGCAGAACCAGCCGGCCAGTCTGAAGGTGTGCGCCACAGCTCAGCTGCAGTCGAGCTTGTCCCCTCCGGCTGCAGCGCCAGCGCCAGCAGCCCTCAACGAGATGGGGGATGAGGTCAAGCGGAACAACGACAGCTTGCTGTGCCTGCACAGCCTCTGCAAGAGCATACCAGTGCAGCCGGATGCAGCCACCTCTGCGGAAGCCTATGCGGAGGGCTATGCGGATGGCTATGCGGCGACCGTTGAGGCTGACGATGATGGAGCTGACGATGAAGAGGGGGCTGCTATCGAGGGCGAAAGCAACAGCAACAGCTATCCCAGCGACTACACCAAGGAGGAGATGATGAACGACTTTGCCGAGTTCCTGGGCAGCTATACGCGCGAGCAGGACCAGCAGCGGTGGATAAATGAGACTTTGAACTTCATCGAGGGCAAGTCGCAACAGCCACAGACCATGAACCCGAAGAAGGCGGCCAAGAAGGCCAAGCAGAAGCAGCGCAAGGAGGAGGAGAAGCGCATCAGGGAGCTGGAGGACCTGCGCAGCCAGTTTCTTGGCATCTACTTCAAAGAGTTCGTCGACAAGTACGAGATGAAGGCTCTGACGGCTGCTGGCGGCCGAAAGCGCGAGAAGAAGCGCATCAGCGAGCTGGAGGCCAACATCAAGAATCTCCAGAGGGCCAAGGGCAAGGTGGAGACGGCCATTCTAGAGCTGATAGCCACCGTGAAGCAGGCCAACAGCGAGTTCAAGTTCTCCTACCTCCCCACGAAAGAGCAGCAGCTGGCCAAGCTAGACGAGATCATCAAGGGGCGGTGCTCCGGTGCCGCCGGGCAGACGACACAACCAGCGCCCACCACGCTCCAGTATCCCGATTTTAGCGGCGGCTGCCCCACCACCACCACCTTCTTTCCGGGCCAACAGAACGCTCCTCCGGCCTGCTACGCTCCTTCCCAGCAGCAGCACCAGCAGCCACCACATAATCACCAACAACAACAACAACAGCAGCAACACCAGCAACAGCAACTGTTCCATTCCATCACTGCCGATCCATCGAAGCGGATTGTCACCATTCGACGTGTTCAACTGCCCCATCCAGGGGCCGAGCAGCAGGTGACTGTGGTCGCCAAGGGCAGCTCCCCGCACGAAGACAAGCTGCTCTATACATTCGTCAACGGGCATATGGTGGCCTCGGCTCACCCAGACACAGTTGCTTTGGCTCCGTCGCATCCCCAGCAGCAGCAGCAGCCGCCACCAGGTCCCAGTGTTCCGGAGAAGAGTGCCAAGGCCAAAAAGAAAGAGGCTAAGAGAGCAGCAGCGGCTGCTGCTGCTGCAACCGCGGCTGCCAATGCTGCTGCTGCTGCCATTGCGGCTGCTGCTGCTGCCACAGCTGCTGCTGCAGCCGCTGAACAGGAAGCAAAGAGTCAGAACGCCGCCAAGAGCAAAAAACAACAGAAGAAGAAGGGTGTGGCAGCAGTGGTGGGTGCTTCGAGCTCTGCCTCCAACAGCAGCTCCAAATCCCACACGCCTCAAAGCAGTGCCGTCAACACGCGGGAAAACTCCGTCTGCAGCGTCCAACCGAAGTCTGCGACGAGCAAAAAGTCTGCCAAGTCTGCTCCGGAGGTGAAACCCACAAAACCGAAGACAGAGGCCAAGCCCGCGCCCCTGCCAGAGCCTCCAAAAAGACAGAAGCGCGTCAAGCCCAGGCTGGATCAGGGACAGCTTGACAATAATCCATTTAAGTCGCTTCACATGCAGGATTCTTCGGAGGGTGACTGTTCCACAGACAGCGAGACGGAGGAGGGCCCTGCCCTGCCGCCGCCGCCGCCGCCTCCCAAGCCCGTGCCCAAAGCCCATGCAGTCTCGGCACCGAAGCAGGCGCCTGTTTCCGCTGTCCCTCCAATGGCCAGCAAGCCGAAAGCAGCTGCCACTCCTGCTCCCGTCAAGCGCGTCAAGTCGGAGGCTGTTCCGCAAAAGTCCCAGCTTTCGCAGGCTCCCAAGAAACCGCCACAGACGAGTGTTAATCCACGCAAGGGCACCGCTTCCTCGATCAAGACGGGACAGAGTCATCACCAGCCACAGCAGCAGCAGCAGCAGCCCGGCAAGAGCCAGTCGCAGCGCACTGCGGAATCCTCAAGAAAGCAAAAAGTTCAGGGGCATGCCGATCGACAGCAGCAGCAGCAACCGCAACAGCCACAGCAGCAGCAGCAGTCATCGCGCGGTGGACGTGGCAGCGGGAGATCGAAGCTACAGCAGCAGTCGCAACAACACTCCGACTCCACCTCGAACGTGGGAGATCCCAGTGCAGCACCGGCCTCTAAGCGATCGCAGCGCGGCAAGCGGGGACATCGCCAGAAGCAGGGTATGTGCTGGAAACATCCACTTTAGCGGCAGATAAGATATCATTCCTTCTCTTTTCATTCGACAGAAGATCTCTCTGGCATTCCACACAACATGGGCTATTTTAATCCCAACGAAGTTGCCATTCCTCCGGCCATGTCAGCGGCGGCACATGCCCCCGGAAATGCCGGAAGTGGCAGCTATGCGAGCACTCTGGCCCAGCAAATGCAGCACCTGCGCATCGGCAGCACCTCCTCAAAACAACAGCAGCAGCAGTCGCCCAACTGCAGCATTATGGATCAGCTGAATCGCGGCGTTCAGGTGGAGCATCTGTCCCTGCCGCCGGGCATTACGCTGACCAAGGTGGATCCGGCCAAGAGCGAGCAGCTGCGCCAGAAGAGCGAGTCCATCCGTCTGCTGTCCAAGCCGATGGTCGACCAGCCGCAACAGCAACAGCACCAGCACCAGCAACATCTCCAGCATCATACCTTCCAGCAGTCGCATCTCATGGCTGGGTACTACGGGGCGGCAGGTGGCTCCGGCGGAATGGACAACAACGCCGTCATCATGGTGGAGGCCAATCCACGTCCCAATCGCAACAGCCAGTCCTTTGCCGCCTCCAATGTGGCAGTGGCTGCCTCAGCGGCGAGTGCCAGTGGCAGTGGCAAATCCTCCCGACGCCGCCGTCGCAATCGTGGCAAGTCCGGAAGCGGAAGTGCTGGCGGTGGTCACTCCGGGGGTGCCAATAAGCAGCGGACTGGAGCCGGGGATCAGCAGAAGGCAACCTCAGCCACCATCGAGTCCAGTGCTGGTAACATTATAACCCTCCGCAATCCCATGTTCCACCAGGGCAACGGCCCAGCAGCAGTCGCCGGCAGCATGATGCCCCCCAATCCGAATCCCATGCCAGCGCCGGGTAAGTGAATCCCCAGCAACGCCTGAAGTATTTACAAACTTTCTGCATTTCGCAGCTCGAAACTTTGGCGGTGGCCTGCCCGCTGCTCCCCCACCGATGGGCGGCATGGATCCGCCTGCGGCGATTATTAAGAATGAGAACGGAATGTTCACCATACGCAACCCGGCCCTGCATCAGGCGGTCACCAATGGTCTGGCCATGGGCGGCTTCCGTCAGTTCGGCAGCAATGTCAGCTACTACACGCCCCAGGAGGCGGCGGCCGAGGCAGCACGCGCCACACAGCAACAGCAACAGCAGCAGCAGCAACAGCAGGCACCGGCATCCAGCCACAGCAGCAGCAGCAGCTCCTCGGTGGCAGCAGCTTCCAGCGATTTCTCATACTTCTCCAGTGGTTCTGTTAGCGGCAGTGGCAGTGGCAGTGGTACCAACGGCAACGGGACGCACAACAATATCAGTATTAGCTGTACAAACGTTCCCCTGGGCAGTGGCAGCGGCAGCAGCGGCTCCGGCAACAGCCCTGGACGTCTGATGGGCGAGGCGGCGGTCATCGCCCGTCCAAAACAGTCGCAGAAGTGTCTGTCCGCCATCGGCAGCGAGCTGAAGCAAAAGACCAAAGACAGCCACTCGACAGGCGCCTCGTCGAGCCAATGGGCCAGCTATGGCCAGCCGCAGCAGCAGCAGCAGCCGGAGTACGGGGCAGGCGTAGGCGCAGGACCAGGCGGTTCCGTGTTGCAGGAAAAGTACCAGCAGTCGAGCTATTACAACGGCTTCGATGTGTTCTCCGCGAGCCCCTCCCAGGTGCCGTGTGGCGGACAGAGCAGCGGACAAGGCGAATGCCACATGCATCACAGCTGTGGCGACGACTCTCCGCCGCCCACCATCACTGGTTTCAATTCCTACCTTGAGGGCATACCCAACACCGGGGTCATACGCTACGACGACGCCGCCTTCCTCAAGAACTTGATACCGGGACAGCATCTCAACAACGAGGTGTGTGCCGGCCATTGGTGGCCATCCTATGCCTCCTACGATCAAAACTTTCAGAGACAGATGGCATCCTATGCACATTACCATCACTACTATCAGAGTCATACTCAGCCTCAGACCCAGAGTCGTAGCCTTCGAGGCCACAGCACACACGTGCCCAAGCACTTGAAAAAGAACTTGTCACCATTATTATCTTCATTCTTCTCGTCTTGATCGATCAATATCGTACACGTTGCCACACACCACACTTGCATCGAATAAAATAAAAGAAACGGGCATTATAATGCTTTATTCTCTTGTTGCAACTCGTCGAAGAGGAGTGTGTGCTTTTTGAGATCCCTTAGATCCTTAGATACCATTTAAGACCTAAATTAGTGCCCCAAGATCTCAACCAGTGATCTCTTCCATTCGCAGGTCTCGATACACAACATCTCGGAGTCGAACTTCACGCGCAACAACACATCGCCAACGCCGCATCGCGTGGAGATCACCAGTGTGTTTGGCAACCGGGGACACTCTTCCAATGCCAATCCCTACGAGCAGCAGGCATCGCAGGCGGGGATCTCCTCCAGCGTCAACTACTGCGATAGCGTGGGTGCCGACTATGGCAGTGGTAAGCGATCAGATCAGATGGGAATGGAGAAAGAGAGGAAAACCTAAACCAATCCCCCCCCGTTGCAGATTCCCACATGTTTGTGCAAAGTGGCATGATGCCGCGACTGTCACAGGCGGGTCCCGGTCCCGCTCCGGGTCCGGACTTTGTGTACGACTTTGAGACCGGGAGCCAGCAGTCGAAGCCAGCCAGCGTGGCCAGCGATCTGAACGAGTTCCTGCGCCGCAGTCCGCTCAGCCAGCGCACGTCGCCGTACAGTCCCGACGAGAATGCGGCTGCTCTGGAGACCTTTGTCCAGAACATGAATGCCCTGCAGATAGCGAGCGATGCCGAGCAGTGCTCGCGTCTGAACGGAACCGGGGGCGGCCCCAATGATGCACTCGTGGCGGATGCAACAGCTGGAGGCGTAGCCGCCGCCGCCGCTGCCTCGTGGTGGTAAACACACAGCAACGGCAGGACCTGGAAGATGATGATCGCATGACAAACACAAAAACAAGAACCCAACGCATCCTTCACACCCATGCCAATGCCCACTCCCACGCCACGCCCCATTACGCAGACATTTCATTGATAAGACGTAAATTAAATTAAAGGAAACGAACACGAAAAGCAGGAAACTGGAAACTGGAAACGCATCCAAGAAATGATTCAAAATGGCTTAAAAGTCAATTTCGATGTTTCAACAAAAAAGAGAAAAAATAAAAGAAAATTTACTTAGATGGAACTCTTGATCTACGCGAAGATGTGATAATAATTGGTTTTTATTTTTCCATTTTGAATTTTTAAATTTTTCAATTTTTTGCTAGTAATTCTTTAAAAATCTCTTTATACTTAAATCCACAAACGGGATGTTACGAAGCTGCCAAAATACTTTACGGGCGCACATTCAAAACTCAAAGACAAGGGAGCCGGAGGCATAACTGACGCTGGAGTCCTCCATGTCCAGGCACTGACTGCTCTGGGCATACTGAAGAAACTTGAAGCTCATCTTGTCGTAGCCCTGATCCTGCAGGGCCTTGACGGCGCCCAGCATCACTCCGATGGGATGGCGGCCGCATATCGTATTGTTGTACTTCCTCAAGTACTCGGTGAACGCCGTGGGGCTGAGCGTCTCGATGAGGTCCATACCCTGCTTGTCCAGCTTCTCGATGGACTTGTGTATTTGGCCGCAGGAGCGATCGTAGTAGGTGTAGCTAAAGCGCTGACCCCAATGGCAGAAGTCGGAGGATATCACAAACAGGTTCGTGGGGTCCATAAAGTACGTGGACAGAAGGCTGCCGTACTGCGCCTCCTGCTCGGGATTGAGCGACCCCACCAGAATGGGCACAATAGTGAACTGGTCCTTGTAGCTGCAGCAAATACATTTCTTGATTAGCACACAACAGATATGCAAGTCTAGTCTTCGGCTTAGGCCGGAGAATCGAAGGGCGAGAAGGGCATCGATCGTAGCCTGGACAATACAAAGAGTTTTCCACTCCAAAAGCGGTTATATTCGACAGGAAGAAGCACCATCTATGGTGAACGGACTTAACGGACTGAGAGCAACAGACAAAAGAGGATTCATTGATTCCTCTCCCTTCCAAGACCAGTATATGATATGCAATCACTGCAGCAGCAAGTGGCCCAAGCGACACCAAGCCGAAGCCGTTTTACACGCAGATTAAAGACAGAAACGCCGCCCACCTTCCTCCCGAGCCTAGCCTAGAAGCCTATAATTATTGAACTCACTCCTCCATGACCTTGGCTATGTAGGGCAAATGCATCTCAATGGAGTGCTCGTCCTCGTCCGTCTTCATGTCCATCCACGAGAACTGGCCCGTCTTTTCGAGCTCAGTGTTGACTGGAAAAACAGATGTAAAATAATGATTCCAGCGGCTGGCAGAGCACCGAAAACTCACTCTGAATGTCAATTTTGAGATCGTAGAGAGGAGTCTTGTACTTTTTCGCCACGGACAGAGCACAGCCGCGCAGACGCACATGATGCGAGGGACCCAGAATGAAGATGCGTTTTCTGCAAGCAAACAAAACCAATTAAAGATGCGGATCCTGCTGCTGCGGATGTGATTTCTTACACAACAACTGGACTGATCTGGCGATAGGCAAAGGCTGAGCAGGCCCCACAGTAGGTATAGCCGGCATGTCTGCAATGGAAGTGAAGTGCCAAAAAATAGTCAAGTGGGACCCATCCCCTCCTCAATGTTTGACTTAGACTCACGGTGCAATGATGGCACGGGCGGGGCCATGCGACAGCTCTGCGGCGCCCAGCCAGCGATCCAACTGCCTGGAGAGCTCGGAACCTGCAAAACAAGTGAAACAGATTCAGTTGGCCTGGCGTTGCCTAGCAGCAAACAAACAATAAACTTCAACACTTCCTGTTCAGTGCTAGAGCAGAGCAGAACTCCTACAAAATAGCAGCGATTGAATATTCTCCTTAAATTTTAGTTACATATATTTTACGACATGGACATAGTAAAGGACAAACAGAGCGATGAGCTGCTAAAACGCATCCAAAACGAACTGACGGCCATTATAGCGGAAGAGTAAGTTTCCTTTCGTCAGTTTTCGTTGCCAGTTATTTGAGGTAAAGCGATATTCTCTCCATGGCAGGGCAAAAGATCCTGAACGAAAGTTGTCGTATGAAACACTGTTGAGGCCCAATCCACTGCCCATCTTTGGTGCCGGAAAGCAAGCAAACGGCAAGCCAAAGAAGACCGTGACATTCCCCAAACAGCCTGCACACAAGCGGGAGGCGGGGGCAAAGTCAGCAGAGGCACGCCTCGCTAGTGGTGATGCTCAGAGAAAGGAGTCGGATCCATCGACATCATCTTCTTCGGCGTCGCTCAAGGCTGCGCTCGCGACCGGCAAGTGGGATGTCCCGCCCACGGATCGCACTCTCCGAGCCGAGTTCATGGACTCGTCGGCGGCCAAGAGCATCGACGTAGACCTGCAGAAGGTGCAGCTAGAGCTGAAGCAAAGCTACGAGCTGTTCCAGGGCATAGGCGAGAAGTTCCAGTCGATCAACTTCAGCGGCCTCAAGAGCCGCATACGCGACTTGCACCTGAACAGCTCTACCAACGAGATGGGCAAGATGGCCACCAATGAGTTGCAGAAAGTGTTCGACGCCCACTACGTGAAGAATAGCCTGGACAAATTGACCACGGATGTGAGCCAAGGCTTCCGCCGCCACCCCGGGGAGTTTGGGGACATTCCGGAACTGAGTACGTTCTTCCAGGCCTGCACGCAGCTGGAGCACGGTTTGGACGCACTGAAGCAGCAGCGCCGGCGCAGCAACGAGCTGGAGAAGCGCCTCTGCTGGGCCACGGAAATTGCATACGATCGCATGGACGAGATACGCAATGCGGTCGGCACCAAGCCAGAATCCAATTTTTAAACTCCATTTTACTCATTCGATGACGTTGGCCCCTGCGACATGATAACGTTATGAGCAATGTTCCTTTTCGTTCTTTATTTTATCAAAAAAAAATTAAATCAAATTCTTACATACGTGTACACAAGTCTCTGTATGTATGCAGTATATGTGTGAGAATATTCACACGCCCACATATGCAGGCTGACATATGAGTTTTGTTCCTCCCCATATTCCGTTACTGACCTGCATCCGTGTACCAACTGCCTGCGTGGGTTGCTCTTCTGGCTGACATGTCGGCGATGTTATTCCAAGGAAAGGCTGCTTTAAATCAATTTCAGTAGTTTCTAATTTGTCTAGTGCTCTCCTCTCGCCGTTCTTGCCTTTCTTTGTGTTTTGCTTTGTTCCTCTTCTTTTCCTGCACAAATGAAATTGATGTCATCGATGTATCGCTGCAGTGCATTCCATTCCTCGCAGGCAGCAATCGAGTACTTATCGATACCCCGGTAGGTATCGTTTTACTTTGCCGCTTGGTGCCAGCTGCGTTCGGACCGCTTGAAAACCCAATTAAAACAATCAAATTAATTAAAATTAAGGTGTTTTCATTATTGTTACTATCGTTTTTACTTTGATTTGAGTTTGTTTATACGAAGGATTTATTTGAGTCACCATATTCCGTGTGAATGTGCGTGGGAGCGTCGACGCGCGAATGGCAACTCCGGTCAGAAGAGAATAATTTATGTGTGCAAGTGGAGAAGCAAATATATTATTCGTGTAAAATCTTGTGCAATTTAATAAATTAATTGTGATAAGTTGGATAAACAAATATTCGCAGGTGTGTGTTCTATTTGGTCGAGCTCAAAGAGCGCATGCATTACAATACGCGGCAACGAGTAGCATCGCGGTAGCAAGTAGCATCGCGTCATTGCTGTACTAAAAACTAAAAATTGCCGTATTCGTATTCCGCCATTTTGAAAGCTGCGAGTGGAATTTGGACGCGTTGCTGGTAAAAAATTTGTTGAAAACTATCTAAAAAGTGCCTATAATTAATGAAAAATAGATACAACTTGTGTATAAACATGGCCGCCAAGTGTTTCTACTCGAAAATAGTGTGTGGCATAGTGTTTGGCACGTGAATTTCGCCCAATTGCAAACTCGCAAAAAACGATAGTGCTGCGGACGCCGCCGTCGCCGCCACCACAAAGAAAAAGGAAAAAGCAATAAAATAAGCGAAAAATATGTGCGTCGCTGTTTAATAATACTATGATCTGATTTCTGCTGCATTTTCACGGATACCTATTTACTTGATTTGTCTTTTTGTTTGCCAGCAACTCAAGTATGCGTGTGTTTGCATTAACCCCTGTATTTGTATGCGTGTGAGTGTGTGTGCGCGATAAACGTGTACAAGAAAAATTTAAACGTGCAGAATTCTGATGAATTTTAAAGCGGAACTATTTTGCGTGTGCATGTGTGTGTGTGAGTATGTACACGATACACACAACAACGTTGTTATAATTTAATGCACAGTTCTGTCGAGTAAGTGAGTGAGTGAGTGTGCGTGCCATAATATTCTCTGCAAAACATAAATAAAATTGTGCAATAATTTCCCATACGACTCGGCTTGACTCGCACACAGATACACATTCATTCGTACGATTGAAATATGCGTTTGTGTCTATTTCTTGTTTTTGCCTTCTGCCGCTGCCCCTGCGGCTGCCAGCGATTGCCTGCCCGCCTGCCCGCCTGCCTGCCTGCCGAGTGACAATATACACGCAAGGTTCACTGCGCAACGACACCTCCCCTTTCCCTGGCATGGTTATACAGAACCCATACTACTGCAACATGCTGTCTCATCGTTGTTTTGCCGCCGCCACCGCATTTAGCGCGGGAGTCAGAGCGAGCCAGCCTGTAAACTAAAGCCAGTTCCTCCTCGGACTCCCGGGGCCGTGTTGACACATTTCTACGAGGTTTTTGGTCCTTTAAAGGGTGAAAGTGCCTCCTTGTTGGAGCAGCCCCCTCCCGTACTACTCGCTCCTGTGCCGCTTCTCGTTCAGCACTTGAAAATGACGAAGCGACCCGGCCCGAGCGACGCTTTAAAGCGCTTAAAGCGGGCCCGGCTCGGCCCTGCCCGGCCCCACTGTCGTTCTCGTGACGTGTGCGCATTAAAGTTTTATCTCTTCCCTCTTGAATGGTTTGGTTGGTTGGTCAGTCGGCACGCTGGGCGCTGAGTGGATGGATATAAATAGTTTTGCCTGCATATTGATTGGAAATCCATGGCTGCCGCTGGAAATACGTTTTCGCATTGTGTTTTGTTTATATGCGCATACACACATGCACGGATTTACACTCACACACAAAACACTCTGAAAATAACATCATAGAATGGGTCTGAAAAGGAATTCGATTTGATAAAGTTACTACTGTCAGTGTCCATAAATATTGTATGCACCCATCACCCACCTAAACCCCACCCCAACCCACCGCACAGTGTCACCCCTTCTTCTTTTCCATTCAAATTGAAGCTTGTTTCTAGTTTTATTACAATTTTTTCGCTTGTCGTGTTTTTGTCGTTGGTTTGCCCTTTCACTGTCCGACGTGCCTGTACCCATCTGACACACACGCACACACACACGATTGTATGCACACACATGGAAAGGCAGACAGAGAAGAGCAACTCTACTTGTCCCCCGCCAGCCCCCCCGCTGCTTCGCCCACCCATATTTGCAACGGGAATATTGGTGATTTTCACGGATGCCACTTTATGCGGAATAGACAGATCGGCACAAAAATAAATGCTAGTGTTTATTATTGTTTTTTTTTTCATCATTAACTGAAATAAAAAAATGTGCATCGTGTGAAAAATATTCATTTTTGACATGGAATACATGTCAGTTTGCGGTATTAGAGGAGAACAGTTAAATTTGATTGTTATGAACTTTTGCCCGCTGTTCTTTCCCTCTTCTTCGAAATGTGTCAATTAAATAGCTTGAAAAAAGCTAAACTGGCAACATTGGGGAATTTGTACAGTTACAAACACATACAGAAATATCCCTTTGAGCATTTGCATTGTTCTGCCTGCCCTGCCGCCCGCTATTCTGCATCGAAAACAAAACTGTACATGCTGTTCCGTTTATTATCACTTGGCATAACACACAACATTTCCGTCTGGGCGAAGAGAGCTCTCGAAAGCGTTCCCCTCCCACCGACCATTTTCGGGCAATAATAAATTTGATTGTTGTGCTGCTGAAACAGTCCACCCCCAGTGCGCCCCCCCCTTCTCTAGTCCACCAATCCCCAGCTGTAGAAGATATTTATTGTCAATGCTAGTGCCCACTAACCCCCGCACTTGTCATGCCCCCTTCTCGTTCTCTCTCTTTCTCTTGTTATCATTTCGTTTTACTTTATTTTCGATGGGTGTTTTCCGTTTTGTTTGTTGCTGACTGCGCGCGTGAAAAAATGCACACCTGCCCAAAGAATTTCACACTCGCTGGCAAGCAGCACAGGCCACAGGCACATGGCGGGGGGAGGGGAGGGTAGGTAGAACAAAGCAAAGCGAAAGCAAGCCACCGAAATACCAAAATAGAAGCAAGCGTTTAAATTTAAATGTCTATGAAACAAATGCAAACAAACACATACTACATTGGCACTGCTGGCTCTGTCTCTGTCTCTATGGCCTGTGCCGCCTTCGTATCGATCTGCGGGCCAATTGACCGACGCGGGTTTTCCCCTGTCCCGTGCCGTCTCGTCAGACAGCGGCCGCCGCACACACTTTCGGGCTGCTGTTCTGCCAAATGCTTTCCGAAACATCAGCAATTCGTAAGCGTGCGAGGGCTACACATATAAACTGTATTTTGTTTTATTTTTTGTGCCAGCTTGCAGTTTTTCGATTTGCGTCATTCGCAGACCAGAGTGCTCCTCGAATCAATATAAAAAAGACAAGACCGCAGCACACTAATGAAAAATTGGGCAATGTCAGTCCTACAGGCACAAATTAAGTGGCTTGTCCCCCCATAATGCTCCTACCAATCGTGCACTATACATAATCCCCATTTGGCAGCGGGAATAATGCCGGGACACCTGGCAGTTTTCAGCGGAAAAAGTGTGTTTGTTATTCAAATAAGGGGGAAACCGGCATATATACATTTGTACATACGGTTGGTATTAGATGTTCGAGAACTTACGTTTCCACAGACGTTTCTATTGTTGATCAGGTGAAACACCTTTTCCTGTCGTCACATTATTCGCCACTTAATTTCGATCGATTTAAAATCTGAGAAGCTTGAGTGTAACTTTAATGCGCTAACAAAAAACTATAAATGTCGCCACGTTTTTACTCGTATCTGGAAATCGATTGCCATTAATTTATGATGCTATGCTGCTCTAGACTTTCCCCGACATTAAATGTTAAACATTTGTGCTCAATTAATTATTTGTGGAGCGCACAAACATGGCAGCGAACCGCGTGGTAGCTTTTGGCGTCATTTTGTGAGCCGGCTTTAATGCATATGCATATGCATGAAACGGAAAGCAAAAAGAAGAAAAAGGCAGCAAAAAAAAACGCGGGAACGCAACGTCATGAGTAGAGGCAGAGGAGCAGCGCAGCACGAGCACCAGCAGAGGAAGCCGTTAATTCGGGCAAAACAAGCTCCGCTCCGAGCTCCGAGGCCTTAAATCGTTGCAGTGCAGCGCAGTCCCCCGCCGCTTGGCATCGAATGCTTTCCGACGCAGTCGCAATGGCAGTTGCATTCGCACTGGCACTGGTGGTGGCAGGGGAGGGGTTAGCGGTTAGGGGCCTCCCCCTCAATTTCCTCTATATGCTAGCGTGTGTTGCAGCATCAGGACTTTAAAAATTTTCTCCCCAGCCCAACACAATATATTTCGGCACACAAATGCGCATGACTTATTTAAACGTGTTTTCTACGAACACACACACACATAGTACATGCCAACGCAAAAACATGAACGAACACGCACTCATACCAGCGTAGGGCAGAGCCGAGCTCGTGCTCGTGCTCCCGGCGGAATCGAATCGAAACGAAACGAATGGTCCGTCGCTGGAGCCAGCAGCAGCAGCGCGTCGTTATTGTGGCATTAAGCCAACAAACAATTTAAGCGAACATGGCTTTTCCTGCCTGAAATTGTGGCAAAAAAAAAAGAAACACAACCAAGTGAAAATAAAGGCAGAGAGGAGGAAAGGAAAGGCAAGGAAAAAAAAACTCTGCCATTGAGCGTGTACGTTTGCTCCGCTCTGCCGCTCTGTTATCGTGCGTCGTCGTCTACTCCATTCGTGTTGATAAACCGGTTCCCGTCCCATTCCCAGTCCCAGTCCCAGTCCCAATCCCCGACCATAAAAGATATGTACACGGCCGCCGTCGTCATCGTTTGCTGGTTACTGGCGGCAGGCTGCTCCCCGGCCCGGCCCGGCCCGGCTGCCGCTGCAGCCCGATGCGATACGATTTCTGTTTCTGTTGTTAGACAGCCGGCGGCTTGACTGGATCGGGTTCGGGCACTCGGCTTCGGCATCAGCTTCAGATTCAGGTAGCAACGCGTCATACACACTCAGAATGTATCTGTTAGATACGCGGCCGAGATTTACTGTACGCCGCTGCGGCGCTAGTGGTTGTTGGTGATTTATAATGTCTCTCCTCTCCTCTCGCTTGCGTTTGCTTTCGCGTTCGATGTGATTTCCCATGTTGTTTGATTTGATATTTCTCTCGCTCTTGGACCGGGACGGGACGGGACGGTGCCTGCTGCCTCGCCTGAAGGCATCAACAGGTTTTATCGGCTGCGACGACTCGACTCCACACAACACATTCTCGCCGGAGAAAACGAGTGCTTCTCCCACTGGCGGTGGCGGCAGCGTGGGCGCGCGCACATTGCTATTGCTGCATCCTGTGGCAGCAGCAGCCTCCTCTCTGCAATCGACCTGAAACCGGTTTTTGGCGCGCTTTAACAACTTTCAACTGACATTTTTCCCCATTTGTGCTGCGGGGTGTGGTGCGGTGCGGTGCAGTCCCGTCGACTCATCGACTTTTCGTCTTTCTGCGGCGCAAACTTGTTTAAACGAAAGAAAAAAAAACAATTCCACCACCATTTCATTTCGGCATCAGTCGAAGTAGTCTCGGGTCGAAGTACATGCGTACGTACGCGCTCGTAAGTTCCATGCGGACTGTGGGGACAGTGCGTTTCGGCGGCATTAGGCCCCTCCGCGATTAATGGTTTGTTGTGGTTCTTGAGTTTCCGGACATATTGAAAGTGAATCGTTTAAATTGTGCCATCAAAAGGAGTATGGGTTGGGGGGCGGGGACTCAAATTAGTTCAGCTTCATGGAGTCTATCAAAAAAGAAGACAAATTCTTGATTCAGATATGCTCCTATGTATTATGTTTATCTAAAACAACCATTCGAAGTGGATCTGCCTCTTTTTGAATGTTTCAATTAATATCTTAAATAAATAGCACTACTTCTGGCTTCCTCTGGTGATAATTCAGCAAATAATAATTGAAAATCCATTAACATGTTTTAAATACTCGATTAGTGGAGCCCAATCAGCCCCATGCCCATAGATACAGAGGAACTGTTTAGAAATAAACAACAAACAAAAGACCTATGCGATGCGATGCGATGCGTCCACTTGACTTGCCTCCGGATCCACGTACTACATGTGGCATGCAGGGGTCGGGGTTGGGGTTGGGGAACGGTAGTCATGGGAGATACTATATATATTTTCTTTTTATTCATTGCTGTATGTCATAATTGCGTCGCTTATTTTTGTATTTCGGTTTGCGATTTAGCGAGCGCTCACTCGAGCGTTCTCTGCCCCGCGACCCCTCCCCCCCTTCCCGTTCCCCATAGCCCCCAACCGCTGGGGCCAACAGCCATAGAGCGTCGAGGTGGCTGTATCTGTGCTGGCTTTTCATTGTTGTTGTAGTTGTTGCCATTATTATTATTATTATTGTAGTCTCGTCGGTGGCGCATTTAAACGTATTTCATACTTTTGCACAATACGTGACACATGGCTGATGATGAGCCACAGTGCCAGTCTCTGGGGGCGGGGAGGCAGTGCGAGGGGGGAGAACATGGCTAAACATAGCCTATAGCCATAGAGAGACGGCAGTCATTGAGGGGCTTATCAATGTACATCGAAATATGTGTACTCTATAACTGTACAAAGAATACAGTATATACTAAATGTATATTTCCGCGCACAAACGATCACTCGAGAGAGAGAGAGAGAGAGAGAGAGATGCCCTCTCACGGCTGTCAAAGTGTATTTTATTGTTCCGATTTGCATTGCTTATCGGACATCTCCGAGGCATCTGTGGCATCAGTGGGGAATCTACAAATGCAACTACAGTTGCTGTTCGAAATCCCCACTTCAAATGCCAGCAAAACCCAAAACTAGAACAAGGATCTTTTTTGTTTCTCTTATGATATGGTACTCCCCTGATGGATCCCCGGTTTTAAGTAGAAATGGGTTAGGAGATACAACCAACCTATATATACTCCCACAATTTATTGTGGGTTGTCGGTCGGTCACATTGCCATCACGCTGGACTGAATGGGGGGCTCTGGTTCCACGTCAGATAACAAAGAAGTGCTGTTTCGCTGATAAGATACGAGGGACTGGGGCTGGGGTTCGAAGCTTCTGGCGGCTACACGTAATCCAAATCAACTCAATACCCGACAATATACAGAGGGTACAGTACAGTGGGGGGGGGGGGTACAGTGTACACTCTACACTCTGCGTACCTGGCACTCTCACACCTCCACTCTCTCTCTCTCCCCATGGCCATGCTCTAATCATGGCACACTCGATAAGCTGTGGAGCACATGGAACACAGTGGAGACGGGGGCAATGCCATGCTGTGCACCGACAACGTGAACCAGCTGCTGGCCAACAAGAAACAACGCCCTTTCATACTCGCACGGAGGGGGGAGGCAGAGGCCTTTCCAGAATGTGAACAGCGTTAAGTTTCTATGTTTCTGCAGTGCCGCCCCCTCCTCTCCCTCCAATCTGTACGCGCAATGCTATCAATGATAAAATGTCGATGTCGCATGGCAGCGCGGGTTGCTGGAGCGTTGCCTCGGCATTATCGCTGATGTTTGCGAAATCCAAACGAAACTTGTCATCGGCCAATTTCTGCTGACATTGGGGCTTTGGACTTTGCCGTTTTTTCTGCTGTATGTGCTGTATGTGCTGTATGGTGCTGTATGCTGTATGCTGCTGATTGTTGCGTTTTTTTTTTGTTCCCGAACATGGACGACTACATCACATTTCATGTTTTTCCATTTAATTTATGTGTTTTGTTGTTCTCTTTCGGCTTATTGCAGGATTTCAATTGCTCGATTTCAATATGAAGCGCCAAAAATGATTGCAGCACCGTTTGCATCGTCTTCGTCTTGAAAAAGGTTTTTTTCCCATTGATTTAATTAAAGCCATCGAAAGCGTGCGGTCGAAAGGGGACCAACCAAGACATAGCAAGAACGCGAGTCCACAAACCATAAGAAGGACAGACTCCCAGTCTAAGAGTATTCCAATTGCGCCCAGCGCCTGCCCTCTCCTAAAACGGAAAACACAGAGGAAACAATCAAAAGGATACAGCAACGGATAGCAGTGACACAGCAGCAGCAACAGCAGCAGCAGCAGTGCCAGGTGCCAGTGCCAGTGACAGTGAAGGACAGAAGTACGAAAACAACAAAATGGACAAGAATCTGATGATGCCGAAGCGCTCGCGCATTGACGTTAAAGGCACCTTCGCCAACGGGCCACTGCAGGCGCGTCCGCTGGTGGCCCTGCTGGATGGCCGGGACTGTTCGATCGAGATGCCCATACTGAAGGATGTGGCCACGGTTGCCTTCTGCGATGCACAAAGCACCTCCGAAATACACGAGAAGGTATTTATATTATATTTGTTTGCAATCTACAAGCATGTATTCTAATCAATCTTGTGTTCGATGCTCTTTCGATGACAGGTGCTCAACGAGGCAGTCGGGGCACTGATGTGGCACACCATCATCTTGACAAAGGAGGATCTTGAGAAGTTCAAAGCTTTACGCATCATCGTGCGCATCGGCAGCGGCACAGACAACATCGATGTGAAGGCAGCGGGCGAACTGGGCATCGCCGTGTGCAACGTTCCCGGCTACGGTGTCGAGGAGGTGGCCGACACAACGATGTGCCTGATCCTGAACCTATACCGGCGCACATACTGGCTGGCGAATATGGTGCGCGAAGGCAAAAAGTTCACGGGCCCCGAGCAAGTCCGGGAGGCAGCACATGTAAGAATCGGCCATCAGCAATCAGCAATCGGCAATCGGTAGCAAGAAAACCAGATCTTTAATCTCTCTCTTTTCCGCAGGGCTGTGCCCGCATACGCGGCGATACCTTAGGCCTAGTCGGACTGGGTCGCATTGGCAGCGCCGTGGCCTTGAGAGCAAAAGCATTTGGCTTCAATGTCATCTTCTACGATCCCTACCTACCCGACGGCATTGATAAGTCACTGGGCCTCACACGCGTCTACACGCTGCAGGATCTGCTATTCCAGTCCGACTGCGTCTCACTGCATTGCACGCTCAACGAGCACAATCATCATTTAATCAATGAATTCACAATTAAACAGGTCAGTGCATACAAAATACTACTCGTAGATCGATCTAGAATCTAAAAGTCTCTGCTTCCTTCTCCCCCGTTGGAACGTATTTTAGATGCGACCTGGTGCATTTCTGGTGAACACCGCCCGCGGCGGTCTGGTCGATGACGAGACATTGGCGTTGGCGCTGAAACAGGGACGGATAAGAGCTGCCGCATTGGATGTGCACGAAAACGAACCTTACAATGTATTTCAAGTAAGAGATTGTTGTAAAACGAGACATTTTACGCAATCTGAGACGACGACGCGCCAATGTCGAGCACGTTCCCTACTAACCTATTTGTAAAACCTTTGACGCTTGCAGGGCGCCCTCAAGGATGCCCCCAATCTGATTTGCACACCGCACGCCGCCTTCTTCAGCGACGCGTCCGCCACGGAGCTGCGCGAAATGGCAGCCACTGAGATCCGGCGAGCAATCGTCGGCAATATTCCAGACGTGCTGAGGAATTGTGTCAACAAGGAGTACTTCATGCGCACGCCGCCCACCGCTGCGGCCGGTGGCGTTGCGGCGGCTGTTTATCCCGAAGGTAAACTACAAATGATATCAAATCAAGAAAAGTAGAGAGAAACAACAGACAGGCGAGAGAGCGAGAGAGGAGAGAGAAAGAGAGAGAGAGAGCGTTATTAAAACAAGTAAAACAACAAAACAAAAAACAAAAACAAAACAAAAACAGAACAAGAATCAATTCAATACAGATACCAGAAATCGTTTAAGAACATCATTTACTTTATGCAACACACTCACACTCGCCCACACACATACCACATACCACATACCACACTGGCACACACGCACACTCCACAAACACAAGCACACATACCCAACCAGATGTAGTATATGCATCCAAAAACATACTTCTATTCTTTCTCTGACTCATTCGAAAGTATATATATATATATATAGTATATAAAGATAGACAGACGGACAGACCGACGACGGGAGATGAGAACGCGCTGTAAGAGTTGATGATATATAAGTGTAATGCAGTTTAAGCCACATATATAAATATATATATATATATATATATGTGTATGTATATGTATATGTAAAGAGGGGGAACCGCTCCTCGGTTAGAGATAGTTTCGATGTCGATGCGGATGCGGATGCAGAGGTTTATAGCGCAGCCGATGTTGGCCACAGTTTATTAACAACTAGCCAACCCGGCAGACGTTGCTCTGCCACGCAACAAAAATCTGGCTAATAGCGAGCAATTTTAAGATGACCCCGTGAACTTTTTACCGACTTGGGCAGTCAATAAGCAGAGTTTTTGTATTTTAAATATAGGTTTTTATTTTTGCCTTGGTTAGGCTTTATTTTTTTCTTCAGTTAAGCATTTTTTGATACACAATATTTTTTGTTTTCTTAGCAGGCGCAAAAACCAACAACAAGGCGCAGCTTTAGACCACATACTTTCAAGGATTGGGCTTGTGATTTGTTAATGGTGAATGCAAGACTTATGGGAAATTTAAGTCTGTTGGGATCATCGGAGTCGTGGGAATAAGAACTTCCTCACCGTCGAATTTCAACGCGTACCGTGGGCCAGGTTTGGCTGCGGAACCAACCTTCAGGCGTAAACCTGGGACAGCCAAGGAGTCGAAACATCAACGAACCAAAATTGTGCAACGGTACGCGAAGCTCAGATTTTCAGGATTCCGATGATCCCAACAGATATGTCGTCTTTCATTCGCCTTGATTATTAGCAAATTTCAAGGCCAGTCCTTGAAAGTATGTGGTCTTAATGTTGTGTATCACAACACCTAAAAAAGTCAAAAATAAAATCTAAATCCGCATATGTCGTGAAAAAGTTCTCCGGGTCATCTAAAAATTGTTTGCTACACATTTAAGAACAGAACGTGTCAGAACAAAGTCTTTCGGTTTAGTTAGCATATATGTATGTATGTGTATGTGTGTGTATGTATGTATGTGGGATATATATATGTATATGTCTGTTCAATTGTGTGTGAAATAAGTGCAACAATTTTCCAACTAGCTTCAGAGATTATTAGCTCCCTTTATTGAGATATAGGAGTCCCCAGAAGCATTCTTCACTCTTATATACCAAGCACAAGCGCAACTATATGCATATATTTATATTGGAAGGAGACACTATCCATATACATACATACATATATATATATATATATATATATGTATTTCACAAGAATATTTACACACGAAAACAAGGTGAAAGTAAACAATATGATGGATTATTGTTGTTAATGTTTCGCGACTTACCCTCTTCCTTGAAATTCCATCCTGATCCTTACCAAATCAATACCTAACTCGTGCCCCGTACTCTCGGCTTTACTTAAACAGAAACAGAAACTAGAAACAATCGGAGAAGAGAAGAGTATGTGGAGTAATATTGTTCGGTGTTGCCACCACTCCACTTGATGATTATTAGAGTATTCACTGTACCAGAGAAAGAGAGAGAGAGAGTTATCCATTTACAAGTTAACACAATTATAAACTAGAAACAAGCGAATAAATACCGAAATACCAACCAGATCGAGAGCTGCTCTCTCGTCAAAAAACAAGAAAGAACAAACGTAATTTTGTTTAGTCATAAGAAGGAACCAGATATTGGTTACTACTTGAATTAGCGCCATTTATTGCTGACTTTCGATTGTAAAACAACAAGTTAAGATCAAAGAACCGTTCCGTTGAATGTTGATCAAATTAAAAATTGAAAATGAAAATGCTATTCTGCTGCTCAAGCTCTGCTCTACTGTATTGCATAATGATCTCATCATCCAAGTTTATTTTCGCCTTACGAACCGAACCGAACACCACATCTTTTGTAACGTAACACAGCAAAGAAGTAATATTTATATACGTTAATATACATATAGGAGACAACACGGCGCGTTAGACTCTCAACAACCACATCTATAAATAGAAGGAAAGAACTACAATTAACATTAAAGCATAGTCTATGTACATTTAAAATATAAACAGAAATTATATTAAAGCAAAAACAAAAAACAAAAAAACCCAACAACAAGAAAACGAAAAAAAAAGAAAAGAAAAGAAAAGAATAATACATGTAATATTAATGAACTTAGATTTACCTTTATGATCGATGATCGATGATTGACGAGGAACGGATGGAAGGGATATTATGGGATCATCAGAGAGTGGTCCTGGCCTCCTTCCCCCCCTCCCCACCACCCCCCATTAAACTTTGTTAGCGTATAAATTGTAATATTATTTAAAGGATTAACGAGATATGTTTACATACATTTAACGAAGGACGCGCAACAATTGTGAGAGTATCATTTTGTACAATTTTGCAATTTAAGTTTAAACGAAAGAACGAACGAGAGAAAAGCTTCAAGCAGTGGGCCAGCCCAGCCCATGCCCATCTGCATATATTGGACAGAGTTTCCTTAGATTTTTTTTGGAACCATCTTTATTTATCTACTCGTTGTATGCACACGCAGATCCAATCGTTTTCCTTAATTAAGCAAGCTATTTCATTATTGCATTAGGTTAGTGTCCATCCACCCGCTCCCGGCCCACTCTACTCCACTCCACTCCACTCCGTTTTTTGGTTTGTTTGTTGTTTTGTAGGGATGCAAATTTTGTAATATTTGAATACATTAACAAGCACAAAGCATACACACCACACACACACAAACAGACAACAGATACCCATGCCACACACACACACACACACACACGCGATCCTACTATATAGCAAGCTGCAACACAACAAATGAGCAAAGTAAAACATAAATAAGCATAAGCTAAACGTAAAAGTAAAGAGTAACGAGTAAAAAAGTAAACGTAATGAGTAATGAGTAAATGAGACAAAAGAATAAAATACTGTTATTTTGTAATGTATAAAAGGATATTTTTAATAACTGTGAAAGCTAAATAAAATTAAAGCGTAACAATTGACGATGAAAATGAAGCAACAAAGCGAAACAAAAAGTAGATGAAGAAGCTGATGATGATGCAGATGATGATTGATGAAAGAGAAGTTAATTTAAAAACCAAGAAAACCTTTCCAGAAAACAATACAAAACAAAAAACAAAAGAAACCAAGAAGATAAAAACAAATAAAAACAAAATCTTTAATGAACCAATTATTGTTTTAACTTGCGGTAGTCCATGTTTAACCGATCGTGTTCGTTGTTCCTTTTGTGTGGCAGTGTTGCAAGACTGTGTCTCCCTAACCAACCCCTCACTGCCATTCACGTTTTTGTTTGGGATCAAGAATCGAGATCAATCAAAGCAGCAGCAGCAGCAGAGCAGAGCAGAGCAGACCAAGCCTTACAGTAGTACCTAACGAGATCGAAAGATTGATATGTCGTATACCTATATATCTATATCTATCTAGTTTAAGCTCCAGTAAGCTCTCCGTTTCTCCCCAGCGAAAGTCAGTAATCGATGGCCGTCCAGCCATAGCCATAGCCATAGCCATAGCTTATTGTACTATTTAGCTGTAAGGGAACGGAATACCCGTGCAGGGCAGGGCCTGTTCCGCACTCATCGCATCACAGTCTCCGCTCTCCGAGCCAGCCCCAACTCTCATAGATCACACGCAGTCACACCACCCAAAACTCAGACTCTGCCAATTCTACCAACGTCCACTACTCGCACAAAACCAATACCAAAACCGAAAACCGAAAACCCAGAACACAAGCAAAAAAGAAAAGAAATCTAAATCGAATCAAAAAATCTTCTCCCCACATAAAACAAAAACAAAAAAAAAACCAGCAACATTTCATAATCTTTACCTAACTTTCAAATACAAATACAAAAAACAATCGAAATACAAAACAGGATTAAATGGCGGCTATTATACAGGCGCACTGCATCATCGGGCACACAGCACCACACCGCACGATGGTCCCCACAGTACAACAAACCTTGGCAGCAGCAGCAGCGGCAGCTCTGCTATGGCTCAGCCTCCGCCGCCCAACTCCGTAGCCGCTGCTGCGGCCGCACTCCTGCCGTCGCCGGTGCCGCCCACCGCAGTGCCCACGGTGCCGCACTTGTCGCCGCAAGTTGGTGGACTGCCGCTCGGAATTGTGAGTAGCCAATCGGTAGGTACACGTACCTCTGTTGTCTTGTGTTTGTGTGTGCGCTATGTGTGTCCTAAGTTTTGCCAGTTACCAGTTACCAGTTACGATCTTACCTCACCAGTTGCCACTTTGCCACTTAGCCACTTCCATTCCCACTCCCACTCCACCATGCAATGCCATGTCGTGGAGTCGCGCAAGCGCCATGTGTGCGTGCGTGTGTGTGGGATTAGATAGTTTGTTTGTTGTGTTGTTGTTGCTGTTGCTCCCGTTTATCCTGTTGTCTGGCGGCCAAAAGCCAGTAGCCAGTAGCCAGTATCTCCAGTATCTCCAGTGTTGGTCGTAGTCACATATATGTAGTTTTCGTGGTTGGCTAGGCTAGGGCTACTAACAGAATGTGATTGAGCTGCAGACGCGCTGCCCCCCAGTCGAAGACCGATGATTCTAATATCCACTTCCACTCTTGCTTTTAGCCCCTGAGTGCGCCCGACCCTAGTAATCATGTGTTATCGAGCATAAAAGCGGAGGTTAAGGCCGAGTCAACGGAGACGCCGTAGGCTGCTGCCGGTGCATCGCAGCTGGAGCCGAGAGCTGGAGTGACAACGGGCAGGTGGTGCCTGGATATCGCCCCAGCGAGACGAGACACACACACAAAAGCTTGGCCAGAAGACGGATAACCAACCAACCCTCTATACATTTCACTAAGGACACGCCGGCAGTCGGTGGTGTGTGTCGTTCAGTGTGAAAACTCTTCGCCCTTCTGTCCTGATGCTGCTGCTGCTGCCTGTCTGTCTGCTCGACGATTCCAGGCGCACCTGCGCCAGCGCTTGATTTGAATTTTTCCAAGTTTCTATGTTACATATTTTATTTAAAGTACGATACACATTTGCATTACCAACAACCCAGAACCCAAAAACCCAAACACCACACACCACACAACAGAGTAAGAAATCGGCTGCGGAAGGAAACGAAACGATGCAAAGCGAAGCGAAGCGAAAGGATGAGAGACAACACCACACCACACGCCTCAAAATTAACTACATATTTAGAGTTTAATTTGTAACTATTTAGAACTTTACACAGTTACAATCGTAAGATTTTTATTTGTATTGCAGGAAATTGTAAGTGAAAAAAAATATGTTACTACATATAAGCGCAAAACAAAACAAAAACAATGTTGGAAACTTTTAATTACGAGAAAACAAAAGAAAACAAAACCCACAACAATTACGGCATACAAAACAAAACAAAACGAAACGAAACAAAAGCAACACACAAGAGAGACGTTTAGTGCTTAAGATACGTTTAAAGTACATAATAAAAAAAAAACAAAAACAAAAGAAACCAGAGAATATACGCATACTAAAACAGCGGCTTGGCTTGGCTTGCTTGTGAGTAAAGGAGTACGATATATACACTTTCAATAATTTCATCTCGACTGGAATACATTTATTTGAGTCTGTTATACACAAGGGATTTTCGGGTTTTTCGGGTGGGGGGAGGAGGTAAATTCTATACTAAATGCTACATAACACCATTTATGATTGGCTAACCTAAGCAGATAATAGATGTGTTTTTGCCTTGTCTTTTGTATTTCTAAAACAGTTTTCACACGTTTACAACGCTCAGATATAGTATTATAGTTAGTAAAGTACATTTAGGTTGGTATGCTTCGGTTGGTTTGGTTTTTGTAAAATTCCTTTCTCTTTTCTTTCTCATTTTTATAACACACGGCCATCGGAAGATCCATCACGTTTATATTAATTATGAACTGTACTATCTATGGTCTGATCTGTTTTTGCTATTAAGGAGTGAACAACAGCTATGAGTATGAAGTGGAAGATAGACCATTAAGCATGCTGAAGGATGATTAATTGTATTCTTGAGCTTAACACAAGGGGCACCAGATCCAGCCCTGCTAGGAAACCTTGTACATACAACGTACAATGCGATGCAAAACTTAGTTTCTTGTATATGTAGTTTAGGTGTTTTGTTTAACAAACCGGAGGACAACAACAAAGGTAAAAACCAATGTAGGACTCGTGGGGGCTTGAGTTTTGGGGCAATTCGAGTCCTCATACTACTTAGCAAATGGGGATTGGTTTCTAAAACTAGGATTATGTGTACAAGTATTTTCAGATTTCTGAAGATGTGTGTCGTCGTGTGTGTCTGCAGGTATGTAAATATATACATCCGTGGTTGTATTTCGTGTATAAGGGATTTCTATCAAAACATTGTACAATACAATACAATACAATACAATGGAATACAATTAATTCTCAGTAAGAGTCATACACATGCTTATATATTCTGCGCAGGGATTTGGAAGTCAATAACACAAATATTTAACAACGTAGTGAAGTTGGGGCCACAGTTTAAAAGAAACGCGTTAGTCGGGGCCGTGCAAAACGGATAACGCCATAGCATCCCAGGCCAATGAGGCCGTACTTCAAGGTGAACTTGCAAACACGCTGACTGAGGCTGGCCGGCGGAATTTCGAGAATGGAGGGTATCTTTTCTGGGTCTACGTTGCCCCACATCTTGGCAATGCCATTGGCATGGCCGATGCCCACCACTCCCACAACTCGTACGGGACGGACGCCAGACCCTCCGGGAGCCGCTTGTGGTAGGGCAGCCACCTGCAAGGAATGGCACAAGAACAGATCACGCTCGCGAACAAATACGTCCGAGAAGGCAGGAAACTCGCCAGCCATCTCCTGCATCAGTTTCTCCAACAAATCCTTTTTCTTGCATTCCTCCACCTCCTCGATGCTTATGCTGTCCGTGAATGTTAGGCGCCAGACGAGCTTCATGGTCTGCCACAGGGACAGAGCGCGCAGCGCTCGGTATATCGTGATGCGAATGGGTCGATCTCCCAGATGCAGAATGCAGCCAGGCAGCTTGTGTATCTCCTCGAAGGCCCGCCGGAATTCACCGCCCGGTGCCATTCCCAGATCCTTTGCGATTTGAGCACTCATCTGGAGCATCAGAATGAAGAAGACGCCGTTGATGTAGCCGTGGGTCTGTATTAAACCGCGTATCTGAGGGTGAATTTCGCAAAGAAGTAGTACTAAAACGTTCTTTTACTTTGGCCTCTTACCTTTGGTATATTGATATTTTTGGCCTCCTCCAGTAGCGTCTTCTCATCCAGCTTCAGAATGTGTATACGTGATGGACATAGCTCAACCATGACCACATCTGGACGGACATTGCGTATAACCTGGAAAAGGAGTACACATATATTGTTAGTCAGAAGCTGAAAGAAGATGAAGATGCAGCTGCAGGCTTACAAAAGAGACGTCATCCTGTGACTCTTCGCTGAAATGCGCCGTTCCGACGAGATAGACCTTGCTACCAAACGGTGTGTTCAACAGCGTCACCGTCGACGGAAGATTTTGGTCAAACTCCTCAAGAGTATCATAGATTTTTATGTCGCGTTTTGTCAGTGGCTGATCGTGGCTGGAGGCAACAACCACCTCCCGGTTGTCATTGTCTCCATCGGCCGCTGCCGAGGCCTCGGCTATGGAGATGTCCAGCTTCTGCTTGCTCGTTTGCAGCAATGACTCTGTCTTACGGCGTCGCTTGTCTGTGGTCGAGGCTGGGTCCGAGGCCGCCGGTCCTTTGCTGGGGGACTTCTTCAGTATGGGCTTAACGTTGTCCCCCTCAATCAGCACGACCTCCTTCTCGAGGTCCTCCGCTTTAATCGAGTTATCGTTTATCTCTATAATTGACAAATTGGGATTATCTGTCTTGAATATTGTCTTGTTGGCCAGCTGCGATTTTGGATCCACCTCCTCCTGCGAAGTGTTCGTGTCGGTGCTCTCGGACTGGATGAGCAGCATGCTGGCATTTAGAGCTGGGGTGGGCGCGGTGAATGCTGAAGGCGCTTGGGTAGCGGCCTTGAAGGCTGCTGCTTCGCTACTAAGATCCGCGCTGACCGCTTTGATAGCGCCATTCGTAGGCGTCGAGCTGTGGCTAATCTCGCTAATCAGACTCTCTGCGGATGAAAGGAAAGAAACCAAGGGATAATATGGTGCAGCAAACAAATATGTTTAATACAAGAAATATAATGTAAATTAGAAACTTCGAGTGTCCTGCTCGTATAAAGCTTTCAGTTCCTTTAGAAATGCTTTGCTGTAGGTGTCGCGGTTGTTGATTTTCAGGAACTGCTCTAGCATATCGAAGCACTTCTCCTTCATTGCTGCAACACGCTTTTTGTAGCTCTTCTCCTCTCTATTGATCTGCTTTTGATACTTTTTCGCCAGCTTCGCTTTCAGAGCTTCAATCTTTCTGTTGACCGTCTTTGTCTCTGTCGGCTTTTTCAGTTGGTAAACGTCCACGCAAAGCTTCTCCACTATGGCCCGCAGCTCGTGGTCTAAATTTGAGAAATGATCTTTCAGCTGCTCCTCGCCTGCGACTGTTGAGAATATTTCTGATAGAAACTGAGTGGGAAAAGTTCCAGCCGTTTGCGCTTCGAGAGCCTTCGTCGCTTCAGCGAAAAGATTCGCTTTAGTTTCGTCAGTGAATGATCCCTTGAGTTCCCTTTCCTGGGCTAGATGCCGTAGCTTATTCTCCACGTGATTCGTTTCTATTTGGAGTACAGTTACATTTAGCTTGATGGTGTCTATCTGACGTACGAGCTCTTCATGCTCCAGCTTTAGCTTATGATGCATTTGCAAATTGATGGGGTCAGGGTTGGCTTTCTGGATGACCTTGAACTTGGCCAGATCCGTATGCTCTCGAGTGGTAGCAGGTTCTTTCAATATGGGTTTGTGACATTCGAGTTGTGGCTGCTTCATCCCCAGCTTCTGATTTTTCGTAGCCAACCGACAAGGACTGCTTGTTGGATATTTTTTGGGTGACTTCAGATTAGGGGGCTGTATATGCCCATGTGTGTTCTGAAGTTCGAGTTGTGGGTGCTTCATCCCTAGATTATGAGTTTTCGTAGTCAAGGAGCAAGGACTTGTTGGTTTTTTTTTTGGTGACTTGAGCTTAGGGGGCTGTACATGCCCATGTGTCTTCTGAAGTTCGAGTTGTGGGTGCTTCATCCCTAGATTATGATTTTTCGTAGTCAAGGAGCAAGGACTTGTAGGTTTTTTTTTTGGTGACTTGAGCTTAGGGGGCTGTACATGCCCATGTGTGTTCTGAAGTTCGAGTTGTGGGTGCTTCATAGCTAGATTCTGATTTTTCGTAGTCAAGGAGCAAGGACTTGTTGGTTTTTTTTTTGGGGACTTGAGCTTTGGGGGCTGTATTTGCGAAGCTTCCATGTGTTCATGTGTGTTCCGATTATCGGAAACCATGGGGACAGGCTTTATTGCATCTGTTTTCTTGTCTGCCTTGGTCTTAATGGGCTTTATAAACGCAGCTTCCAGATGCTTGGGCGTGGTTAGACGATTCTCCAATCTGGGTATGTAGCGTTCGAGTTGTGGGTGCTTAATCCCTAGTTTATGATCCTTCTGCAGAAGCACAGAGCCAGGCTTTGTAGCGGTCTCTGTAAACGCAGCTTTTATATCTTCGTGAGTTCTATCAGGATCGGTCATCAGATGGTGTTGGGCACAATTTGATGAGTCGAAGGAATTGTACGAGGCATTTAGCCAGCGCATGCAGAGATCGTGCTTTTGGGATTTTGTTACACTTGGCGGCCGACACACATGTGGATCCTCATGATGGATTCTGTCAATCTGATCGTCGCTCAACTCGAAACGCAATCCCATTTTCGACGGTTCAGTTATATCTATCAAGGATTGTTTAAAAGCTACTTATAGGGCTGATTGACCAGCCCATGGCCCACGGATAGGCATGAAACCGACTTACCATTACAGGAGTTGTAAGCCGTTGCGGATAGGTTGTCCAGCGCACTGCCGTACAGGGTGGTGTCGCCCGTGTCTGAGCTGCTATTATCCATCGTTGCATTGGAGGACTCAAAAGATGTGGAGTTGGAGGTTGATACATCCATCGTGCAGTATGTACTTTCGACTTGCGCGTCTTTTGTGTGCACAGTTGGCTGGAAGAGTCGGTTACGAGTCAAAATTCGGTTTCAATAGTCAAGAGACACAGCGTCCACGTATGTATGTAGCTATGTATGTGCTAAGCCTTCGATTGGCTTGGCAGCCGTTTCTGTTTGCTGTCCGTGTGCCGTCGTGTGTCCGATGACTGATGTTGGCGTCTTGTGATAAATAACTGCGGGCGCTGCAACAGTTAAGGAGAGAGATTATCAGAGATACAGATAATACCGAGAACTATTCAACTGAAAATTGATTGCCGTGTTTTGTCTACGTGTCCATTCCAAGAAATAGGCAGTGTTTACTATGATTGAAAAGTCCAAGTCAAATTGATATAAGGCATCCGTATGCCAAGGGACTGGGCCTATACTGTCGAAATCCGGGCTCAACAGCGTTGTGCCTACTACAGCCTACTTACCTGAAAAGTATTGTTTTCTGTTGTGTGGCGTGGGGTTGTGGTGCACTGCTAGACGTTCTTTTGGCATCAACGGACCAATAATTGACACAGATTTGTTGCTGGGCTTAGGGCGCGTGATTATATTGATTGTTTTTATATATTCCAGTGAGTGCGATTGTAATAAAACCCAAAAAACTAAAGAGTTAAATAAATTTGTGACGAGCTAAGTGTATTAGAGGTGTCAAAACATCGATGGCACTATCGATAGTATCGGTGTTTTGCTACTATTAATGATACTATCGAGCTCTAATCGGTAACTTGCCATTCTCTACTTTTATTTTGAAAAGTGAAGACCGAAAAACTTGACGAACCCTTTTGATATTTGAAGATCGTTCAGCAATCAGCCTTGCCACCATATAGATCACCGATACAAAAAAAAGGATTTATTTAATTTTGCTTGAAAAAAAGCCTTTAAAAGACTTCTAATCGTAGTTATATGAACCCGATACTATCGATAGTATCGATTTTTTTAAATCATTATATTCGAAACTATCGAGTGGCGCCACTATCGATTATATTATCGATATTATCATCATCATTTGAAATTGAGCCGTTGATTGTTATTTCAAAATAACAATCACACCCTTATTTTTTTTAGATTAAAACGATGGGGAACGTTGTGAGTTGCTGCGGAGACCTCAACTTTACATGTATACCCGATACTTAGTCAGTATGGCTCTCCTCCGGCAGACGCCGCTAATATTTAACGACACGACAAAGAGTGCGTGCGAGAGAGACAGAAAATCAATCTGAGCGTGACGTCGGGCGCTGCGTAGCCACTGCAAATGGATTTGTTCCTATTGGCTATAAAAATGATCCGATCTGATCCAGATTCAGAAATCTGATAGATTTGGTCATTATCTATGATTCTAGCATACAACTGTATGTATATTGGAATAGAGAGAGACGCTGACCAGACTGTAACTGTAAATGCGAAGAAGGTGGAAAGCACGGAATAGCCGTGGAACATCGGCTATTTTTGGGGAGTGCCCTGTGATCAGGACTTACTGTCATTTGAAGCTACTGTAGGCGGACGCACAAGGCACTTTTGCTCATACAACAGTAACATAAGCAAACGAGTATCGTTCCAATTGCTCAATTCTTTATTCCGTCGAATATTCCCAGCTATATAGAACATTTAGTCATGCCCACATAATTTTATACGATTGATGAATCAATTTTCTACTTGACTAGTTTAATTTAAACACTTGCTTTTATTGGATTTCTAAACCCTTTCTTAAATGTACAGCAGCTCCTGTAGGTTTTGAGTATTCTGTCAAACTAGAAATATTGTATGTAGCTTCATAAGTTTCTTGTCGCAGATTTTCATTGTGACACTGCCACCACCCACTCCCACTTCCGCATACAATGAAACCATCAAGTTTGTCCGACTCCAGCTTTATTACTCTTGGCAGCCGGCATCCAGTTTCTGCAAATCACCGAGGAGGTGGTCAAAGAAAAGCGTCGGAGAAGGCTCGTAGCAAAGCAGCCTCGAAAGTCTCCACTAGAAAGCGTGTAGATCGCAACGCCCTTACTGTAGGCTCAATCCGGTCGTGGAGCCACCACGCATCATCAAGTCGTCGGCCGCCGTCTCCTCGGCCTCGGAGGACTCGCGTCGCGCCTCCGGCAGTAGCTCTTCTCCTGCTTCCTTTGCATATATCTTTGGCGGTGACATTCCTTTTTGATGGAAGTATTGCGCTTGCTTTTGTTTGCTTTAACGGAACATCCAACATCTTCCGGTGATTTTTTTTTTGATGCCATCCATTTTAAAGATTTTTCAACATGTCGTACGTTTCTACGTGAAACAACGTGACATTACAAAAAGGCTCCATGATGGATGGCATCAATAAAAAATCTCCTGAAGATGATGGAAATACCGTAAGAGCAAACAAGAGCAAGCACAAAACTGCCATCAAGAAGGGCTGCCATCGCCAAGGATTTATCCACAAAAAGCAGGAGAAGAGCTAGTCGTCGCTGGTCCGACAAAAATGACTGGCTGGCATCAGCAGAACAGAAAGGTACAGTACCTAATAAAATGGGAGGGAATAAGTCAAATAAGACAGAACAAATATTTATAAATTAACATTTAGTTAACCTTTTTAGATTCGACGAACATGGGCTCAGCAGGATGGCAGCAGGATGGTCCACAGCAGGGACTGCAACAGGGGCCGCCGCAGGGTCCGCAAGGGCCACAGGACCCACAGCCGACGCAGCGCAGTCTACAAAGTCCGATATATGAACCTTAAATTACAAAAAAAAAAATTTTAATTATTTTTCAAAACGTTTTTTTGTTTTTTACAAATTTTTTTACTTTTTTTTACTGGAATCCAAAACACAAAACTAAAAATTAAACAATGTTCACTCTACTGCTCCTGATTTCAGACTGACGAGATACACAAAACAAAAATGTATGCCATTTTTTCCAAGAGTTTGAACTGACTCAAGGCTAATGTGATGATATTTATTTAAACAGTTCAACGACTTGAGTCCTGAACTGAGCTAAAATTGTTCAATTGGAAGCCACTGTAGGCAGACGCACAAGGCACTTTTGCTCATACAACAGTAACATAAGCAAACGAGTATCGTTCCAATTGCTCAATTCTTTGTTCCGTTGAATAATACTATCTATATGGAACATTTAGCCATGCCCACTCAATTTTGTACGATTGATAAATCAATTCTATACATGATTGGCCTATTCGAAATACTTGCATTTATTGGATTTCTATACCGTTTCTATTTAAAAATATGTAGTCATGGAAAGGTGGAAAATATTTGGTCATACTACAAAAAACCTTGCATGACGTCAGCCCTGTGTCGTACGACCAGGTTTTTACATGTTTGCTGTATAGAGCAGCACTGGCCACAACAGCTGTTCTGCTAGCCTGTATAGAGCAGCACTGGCCACAACAGCTGTTCTGCTAGCCTGTATAGAGCAGCACTGGCCACAAGTTCTGCTAGCCTGTATAGAGCAGCACTGGCCACAACAGCTGTTTTGAATTGTTTTGGTGGGCAGCAATATTTTAAATTGAAATTAAAGCATGGCCGAGGAACCTGAGGACCCCAGCAAGGTTATAATTGGAAAAAACGCATTGATAACAGTCTACTAAAAGTGCTAACTATCTGAACTTTAATCGTTGTAGAGCTTCGTTATCTTTGGACGCGATGTTGCCCAGATACCATGCTTTCGTAACAGTTTTCTGTACGGAATCAGCGGTGGAATTGGCATCGGTCTGCTGACATTTTTGGGCACCTCCCGTACACATCTTTCCACTCACGTGGGCTTCGGATCCTTTTTCTGTGGCACCATTGTGTACTGGATGAGCTGCAGGTTGGTTGATTTGTCCTTGGCCCGTTGAACCTCTTATCAGTTCATGTTTTGCAGGTATCAATGGTCCGCCCGCCGGTTCGAGCAGCAGCAGTTACGCGAGGCCATGCGTCGCCAGGCCCTGTACGAAGGCACAAACGTCGAACAAGAACTAGACCTTAAGTCTGCGTAGTATTAGTATTACATACATTGTAAATATTTTAATTTTCTTACATTTGTGTGTGTGGATAAGGACTATTGTACGTCTGATCTAATTCAGGTGAACCTTTCATGTTTTAAAATCAGTTTGTTACTGAACTTAAACCGATATAAATAGTTTATTTTGTAAGCGAAATCTTACCTTAAAGTATAACATATAAGAATTTTTTTTTCTTTTGTGGATGTAACGTACAATACCTTGTGAAATATGAAAGATGAGTGTTGTTATAGAAAGCCTCCACCGAGGATAAAGAGATTGACTACATTCATAGTAAATTGAATATTCAAAGCTATGAAAAGCAAAATATTTAATTTTAGTTAAAGGTTTCGAACAGTTCTGCCTATTACAGGTAAACTCTGTACAATCAGTTTCTTTTTGAGCGGATCTATGACAACCGCATGAGATGTAATTGTCTCTTTCTTTAAGACGTTGCTAATTAAATGTTTCACATAACTATGCATACGAGTAGTCGGTCAACCAAAACTTAGATCTGTACAAAATACTGAAAGCGGGTCAATGGCTGTGTTTTGACTGTTGGCCTCTCCATACTTGATTAATGGAGACAGTCTAGCCGACTATTTGGGATTCTACCTGACTGATCAGCGCCGCCGAATAGCTTGCTTTCATTTGAGCGCTGTGCTGATAATTCCCCGAACTCCCGCACAGAGGGTTGTTGTTGATTTATTTTTACACACGTGTAGGCGATCATCCTTCAGAACGATCCGGTCTCTCCAACGAGCCGTAATCTCCAAGTGCCCATGTCGTCGACAGTGTTCGGGGTTCGGTTCACTTGTTCGCATAACGTTTTCGTTGGCAGCGCGAGACGGTTGTGTTTTTCGGCGTTCGCATGAATTTCTCGGTGGAAATTTGAAAACTTGTTTGACTCACTTTATTTGTGCATTAGTAATTGCATGCAAAAACAACGCTTATATAGCCATTGGTACTGAGAGATACTGCCTACAGCACGATGTCGGGCCAGCAAAAAACTTCGGAGCTGGTGTTTTTTGTGAATGGAAAGAAGGTATGGGTATGGCTGGAAGATACAGACACTGGGGCACAGCACACTTGTAGCACGCGTATCTTTGCGTGTTTCAAATGGGTAAACCCTATTTTAATCTGCTGTTCACCCCCTATATCGGGCATTTTGACGTTTTATTACGATAATTTATTTTTAACTGCCGTTTATGCAATTCGACGTGTTTCTCAATTGATAGTGTCGAAGTCGGAGAATATTTTATTTATTGCGTTCGCGGCGCTGATAACAATTGACCCCCCTTTAGAAAGGGTCGTTGTTTGCTTGTGGCCCCGCCGCACCTTATCTGGCCCACTAAAAACAACAGACGGGGGTCTGTCAATGGAATGACGTGACGCCGCACTGAGAATAATTTTATGGGGAGCGTACTATATACTTGGTATGTACGGCTAGAGCTCCTAATCCAGAAATACTATCGGGATTTAGACTGTTTACTGTGTGCCGCCCGCGTGTGCGAAATTAGCATCGTAGTGGAGTGCTATCCAAATAAATGTTAGCCAATAAGTCAACTAGTGTTAGCGCAGAGCAATTAAAATTCTCAAAG